GAAAAAGAAATGAGGTCCCCAGAAGGCTCCTGTTAAATTACAAGTATTATATCTGGAAGATGAAAACATTAGCCAGTTAGCCCAGACTAACTAATCCGGTAATCAGAGGAACAGGGGCAGAGGGCACGGCCCCGGGGCTGGGAGGGGGCCAGTGATCCACAGTGTGCCAGTTACCGGCCTGATCGCCTTGCTCCTGGGACTGCCCCTGCGTGGCAGACAGGCCACGTACCCTGACTGCAATCTCATTAAAACGAAGGGTTGGGAGAGTCCCCTGCCCAAGCTAATTGCCTCAAACAAGCTACAAGGTGCCGGAGCCCAGACAAAAACTTGGGACGTCGGACTCCAGGTTCCATATTCTTTCCATGGGAGCAAGACTGGGTGGAACCACAGTTCAGGGACCCCAGGCATCCTTCACAGAGCAGCCCACCTACTGTGTGACTTCAGGCAAGTCACTCAACCTCTCTGAGCTTTCCCAGCTGTAACAGCGCTCTCAATTCCTGCTCCAGGGCAGTGAAGCAAGTCAGAGCTAACAGGAGGAAGCAGCCCACAGGCATGGCCCCAACAGAGCTCAAGAAAGGGGCTGCTTCTTCCCCCACAGGCTCAAAAGTGGGACCACAACAGAAAGGCTCCACTGCCAGCCCACAGTTTCCCTGCAGGCCAACTCTGGCAGGAGGGAGCAGCCCCTCTAAGGGACAATGGGAACGTGACACACACCTCCCACCCCCGCTGATAGCTGCCCAAGGAGAGGGCTTTCAGCTGAGGCATGTATTTTCAACAGAAAACCTTTGTGTCTGTTTTAAAACAACATGACTCCAACACTTTACGTTTAGCACTTGTAAGTTCGGGGGTTAATGACCCTCTTCCCCCAGGTGACAGGGCAGCCGCTCTCTGAGGCAAGGGTGGGTGCTCAGCGTCTCCCAGGGGGTCCCAGCACCCAGCCCAGCCCTCCCTGTGTTACCAGGCATCGGTCGCCTGAAGGCGGCTGATAACAGCCCCGTGAGTGTGTGATCACAGGTACTGTCGCAACCCCACCTTACACATGAGGACACGGAGGCCCAGGGACCACGAGACAACTGCTCAAAGCCACGCGGCCAGAAGGCCACAGCGGATGTGGGAGAGCCTGATGGCAGACTAAGCTCAGGGGCTCCCGCAGCCTCCTCCGGAGTCGCCTCTGATTATTCGTCTCCTGGAGCACAGAGTGAATGACTCACGTCCACCTCTCTATGTCTCCTCTCTGCCTCCCTCATCCACGTTTAAACACACACCCCAGAAAGGGGGGACCGAAGGTGGTTGATAAGAACAACGCAGGGACCGCATTTAGGAAGTAGCAGCTTCCCAGTGGTGACCGTAGAGACCAGGGATGGATGCGAAGCTTGGGCGGCTGCGCCCCACTTTTGGCCCGGGAGAGGGTGTCCCTCCCTCCCAGCTGGGTGTATCACAGGCCCTGCAGGCTGTGACTTCACCTGCTGTCCTAGCAAGTGATGTTATAATGACAGCCTGGTGGATACAGATGTTGGGTTTTGATTTTTTTTTTTTCTTTTTAGAATTGGAAGGGGCCCATGTGATGATCTAACCCAAGCCCTTGATTTTACAGATGGGGAAACTGAGGCTCAAAGCGGCAGGGCAGTGAGTGGGAATCCAAAGCCAGGTCTCTGGACTCCTGGCGCTGCAGCTGCCTCTATGAGCTAAAACTGGACTGAGGCTTAAGCGGCCCCAGGCCAGCGTGTCCGAGCGCTCCCAAGGAACTGCTGAGTCAGCAGGGAACGGTTCCACACTTTTCCACCGGCAGGAGCCAAGAACGCCTCAAAAGACCAACATGTCCCCTGGGATTCCAAGTCCGAGGGAAGTGGGGGGCGAGCGGCCAGCGAGCAGGAGCCAGCATGGGCCCAGCCCTGGGAATTCTGGAACCCCAGGAAAACCAGGACGCGTGGCCTCGGCGACTCGCTCTCCACCGTGAGGGCTTTGGGGCGCGTTTCTGGCAAGTGCGCGGGCGCAAAGGGCGATGGTGCTTGTGAGTGGCAGCGAGCAGTGAAGGCAGGACACGCAGGGCGGCAGGCACAGGGCACAGGCAACACACACGGAAGCGCGAGAGGCGCGAGTGAGAGGAGAGGCTTACTTCAGAAGTTTGATATTACACATAATCAGCTCCTTCCAGTTGACAAAAATCATAGCAACCTCTTTCTCTGTCAGCAGCTCAGACTCCATCAAGGGTTTCTGAAAGATCTACAGGTGCAGAAAACGAAGCGGTTCAGAAGCAGACAGTGAGCCGCGCTCGGGCACACGCACGCGCCCCCTGCGGAGGGGCCCCTCCTGCTCCCACAGGGACGGCCGGACGGCGGAATTCTCTAGGGCGCAGTGGGAAGCAGGAGGCCAGCACCAAGTGTCACCTGCCCACTGGGAGGAGACAGGCCCAGCGAGGAAAGTGGGGCGGGAAGGTGCACGGGGTGTGGGCAGTCCCTGCATTCTCTCCGGCAGCATCTGCTGCACGGACAAGCCTCGGGCACCCTGAGGACGGCAGCCCCAGCCGCAGGGCCTCTAACAAGCAGTGACTGACTCCATGGCCCTGTGCACAGCCTCCTGGGCTGGGCCCGGACAGAGCCAGCGATGGCAGGCCCACCGCAAGCGGGGGCGTGCTGCCCTCTCCTGGGCTCTACAGAATAAATGAGCCCCTCCTAAGCTGTGTGGTGGGGTGACGCGCCGTAAATCGCAGATCTCAGGGGAATCCATGGGGTGGAGTCCCTGGGCTGCGAGGAGGTCAATCATTATCTGCCGTGGGAGACAAGAGGCTCTTCTGAAGGTTCGTTAGGGATGGGGGCAGCCTATCTTTGAAACAAACTTGGCTGGGCTGCGGCTGGTCCCTGGCAGCCCTATTCCATGTGAGTCCTTAAGCCGATGTTGAATCTGGCATATACCAGGACAACCACAGACGGTTGTACATTTTGTGCACTGCACAAAGGTGCCATATCTAAGGGGTGACACTCACATCCTAGACATCCTAAACTGTATATTTAATAATAGTCAAAAGCCTTGAGAAAAGGGCACCTTTTTAAAATTTGCACCAACGCTTCCTATGTATTAATGGCAGTCTTGTGGATAGCAACCCCTCTGTCCTCCTCTAGAACTGGAGGCCCCTGCAGTTTCCTGGATATTAAGACGACCAGACGAGATGGTTTCACAACTGTCTGGTGTGGTCATGGTGGTGGTTTCCAGACTATTATAGTACTTTTCAAATTGTAGGGCAGCCCTCAGCTCCAGCCCTGTAAATCTCTGCTTCCTAATACGGCAGCTTCCCGTGTAGACGGGCAAAGAGGCTCGCCACTGAAAAGCAGGAGCGCCCAACTCTGCACTCCCCGTCCTTCCAGACAGGTGGCCAAGCCCTGCAATGTCTACCTGGGAGAACAGATCAGATGCGGCATCGTCCCAGGCCAGGGGGTTTCATGGGGACGTGGGAGGAAACATCTTCATTCTCAGTGACAGCTTTTTCTCAGGGGTAATATGTAGCACTGGGAATAACTTGAGCCATCAGCCAGATGGCCACCATGTCCCGATGCCAACACTGCAGGCCAGGAGAGGACGGGCCTGGCACCATGGCATCAGCATGCTGGCAGCTGAGCTGCAACTTCCTCTGACTGGAGCCTAGACTCCCAGTTCACAGCCCACACGTGTCCATCCATCCACTCCTCGGGGACTCATGTGCCCCTTGGCATGAGCGATCTCTGTCCCCCACGGATGTGACTCAGCGTTGGCCACAGATAAGAATTTAACCATCTTCTCTGGGGTGAGACTCTCCTGTGTGATCTGCCCTGCAGATGCTCCCACACGTCACAGTCAGGACGCGGCCTCCTGGGCAGAGGCCCTCCCCCTCCCTGCTGTCCTCCCTCCCACCACTCCCCATTGCCATTACCTCTGTGACCAGCTGCAGGTCGTTCACGTAGTTCTCCTCCGTGACAATGAGTTCGTGGATGTATCCTTGTCGCTTTCTTTCAGTCGGGGTCAACATATCCAAGAGATGCAAGTCTGAACACCCTGGAAAACACAACCATTTGGGACAATTCAGGATAAGTCTGGACACTGAGATCCTTATGGCTGCTGGGCCCCATGTCCTTGCTCCAGCCCAACACGGTCATGGGTCGAATTGTGTCCCGCAACAAGACATGTTGAAGTCCTGACCCTCAGTACCTGTGAATGTGACTTTATTTGGAAATGGGGTCTTTTCAGATGCAATCAAATTAAGATAAAGTCAGGCTCAATTAGGATGGGGCCCTAATCCGATAGAACCAGTGTCCCTGTGAGAAGAGGATACAGAGACAGACAGGCAGGGATTGGAAGGAGGCGTCTACCAGCCCGGGCACAGCAGGGACTGCCAGCAACACCAGGAGCCAGAAGAGCCAGAACAGATGCTCCCCTGGAGCCTTCAGAGGGAACATGACCCTGCCAACATCTCGACTGTGGACCTCTGGCCTCCAGAACTGTGTGACAATAAATTCTTATTGCCTTAAGCCACCCAGTTTGTGAAATGAATACAGGCAGAACACTCCTACTTTATCAAAAACACTAAAATAATGTTGAGAAAAGACTTTGCAATAGTTGGCCAACACTTCCTGAGGGCTCACACCATCCATGCCCAGTGGTCGACTGCATTTAATGCTCACGTGTTGCACTAGAATTATCCCCACTTTACAGACGAGGAAACTGAGGCCTAGAGAGATGGACTCACCCCCGGTCTCTCAGCTCGGTGGTGGTGTAGACAAGAGCCAAACCCTGAGATTGACCCCAGAGGCCGTGCTCTACCCCGGACACTACTGCTGGACCCAGGCTCCGAGAGGCGATGGGTTCTCTATCCTGAGGCTGGCTTGTGGAGGGTGAGGTGTCTGTGCTGAGGCTCCTGGTGGCCCTGGGGACCAGGCGGATGCAGGATGCATCCAGACAGTGCTGGGGAAACTGTGCAGGACAAGGCCACTGCCCGTCCTTGTCATGGCCGAGCAGCAGGCAGACAGGGAAGCCCCTCCAGCTGCGCACAGCCCCGCTCGAGGCCACTGCACAGGACAAGGCTGTCTGAGGGCAAGGGCCACTCTGCTGCCCTGAAGTGTCATCTGCATGGGAGGTGGGCTCACCCTTGAGTCTGCTCACCTAGCCCGTTATGTCCAGGTTGTCGGCAGAGGCAGCCCCTGCCCCAGGCACAATGGAATGAGGGGTGAGGAGGTTCTGTTCTCCGGAGCACCCCACAAGCAGGCCTGGGCCCACCTATTCTTTTTATCAGAGTTCTTTATTTAATCACAGAAGCCAGACTTGTAAGATAGCCTGGGAGGCGCCGGCTGGGTCCCATTCCCTTCCTCTTCTCAGCCCCTCCACTCCCCACAAGGGGGCGCGATGGAGCACAATGCGGAAACGCTGCCTGGGATCAGCGGCTCTCAGAGTGTGGTCCCTCGGCCCCAGCATCTGCACTGCCATCGCCTGGAAGCTTGCTAGAGATGCAGTTACCGGCCCCTGCTGGATTGGCTCTGGGATGTAGCAAACTCTCCAGGCAACTTTTTAGGCACGCTGGAGTTTGAGAAGCCTGCTCTGGACCACCAAGGCTTCCGCAGAATTGCCATCTTCCCCCACGGGAGTTACCTGGGCTCATGACTGATCCGGTCTACGTGCTGGAAGCTTCTGCAAATAGAATGATCCCTCTGGGGCGAATGATATCATAGACTTCTTGGTAAATGCTTCCCTGCTCTAGAGATTAACTCTGGGGCTGGGGTGCTTCCAGCCCTCAGTTTTGTCGCCTCTCCTGGCCAACTGCCCTTTCTAGATGCTGTAGCTTCTCTTGCTGGGACAGGAACATCCCAGGACAGGCAAAAGAATGCCAGGAAGCAGTGGGAATGAGCTATCATTATATTAACACCCTCCACGCCCTTCCGTCCTAGACCTCACTCAGAGCCGCTGTCGTGCCGCGGAGCTGGAATACCACGGGGCGCAAGGTGAGCATGAACCTCTGTGCAGGTCCGCGGGTGCGTCTGAGCTTGGGCGCCCTACCCAGCCACCGGTTTGGCCCAGCTGTTCTTCCTGCCTAAGTGTGGTGATTGTCATTTATTAAAACAGCTGCATCAACAGCGAACTCTCAGGAAGGAAGCGAGGCACCGTGACTCATTCATTCGGCTTAGCCCACTTCTGCAGAGCGGCTATGCGAGCTCAGGTTTGTGGGAAGCTGAGTGATGTCACCGAGTTCTTTGACTTTTATTAGGAAAGTCACCCAGGAAACGGACATATCCTGTCCCTGCCCTATTTTTACCCCATTCTCCTGCAAATGAGTCCAAGAGCCCAGGACTCAGGCCATTTCTTGTCAAAGGGCCACATGCAGCCCTGGCCTGATGGGACTTGTGTGTCACCTCTGCAGTAGTCAGGACACTCCCTTCTTCAGGGACACTAGAATATTGGCACAGAGCAGTAGTTCTAAAAGTTACCATAGGCCGGGTGCGGTGGCTCACGCCTGTAATCCTAGCACTCTGGGAGGCCAAGGCGGGCGGATTGTTTGAGCTCAGGAGTTCGAAACCAGCCTGAGCAAGAGCGAGACCCCGTCTCTACTAAAAATAGAAAGAAATTAATTGGACAACTAAAAATACATGGAAAAAATTAGCCGGGCATGGTGGCGCATGCCTGTAGTCCCAGCTACTCAGGAGGCTGAGGCAGAAGGATTGCTTGAGCCCAGGAGTTTGAGGTTGCTGTGAGCTAGGATGACGCCACGGCCCTCTACCCCAGGCAACACAGTGAGACTCTGTCTCAAAAAAAATAAAAAATAAAAAAATAAAAGTTACTGTACACTGTGCAGTGACACAAAAATCAGGCTCACAGTGGACGCTGGTTGGACCGGTCTTCAGAATGTCCCTTTGAGAATGTCCTACAATTCCCTTGCAGAATCTGATGGATGCTGTGGGCCCCAGGAAACGCACACGTACAACACGCACAACATACACACTCATTTAGTACACTATTTTACCGGGTTCACAGGCCCTCTTGAAGCCTGTTCATGGATCTCATTCATTCATTTGACAAATATTTACAGATGTCCTACCAGGGGTCTATCACCAACTACACTGGGGACTCAGGACAGAAGAGGAGAGATGCCTGCCCCCCCCCAGAGGACAGCTAAGGACCTCAGGGTTCAGTGGTCCTCAGCTGTGGGTGACACTGCCGCCCCCACGCCCCACGCGGGGCTGGGAATGAGCGCACTCTTGGTCCTCCCAATGATGAGATGACTGCTGGAATCCGGCGGGCTGGACCAGGACTCTTAAATGACCTGCAGTATACGGGACAGAGAACTGCCCACCCCAAGTGCCAATACAGTAGCCCCCTGTTGACAAACAGTGACCCTACTTGAAACTGACAACCAGACCAAGATTATGCTCTGCAGCAAGGAGGCGTCAGTGACCAGAGGGACCAGAAGACACACTTAGAACAGCAGAGGAATTGGAAACAAGGACCTGGGAAAAGATGGCTGGCTTGCTTTGGATTTCAGAAGTTCTCCTGAGGCTTCAAGTTTTACCCAGTGAAAGTTGTGAAAATTCCAAGCCGGAGCAATAACAGAAGGTTCGCGGTAAATTTGGGCCATTGGCCTGAGAATCCCAGGATCCCGGGGCCAGCCTGGGACAAGTTGGAGGGCTGCTGCATGGCCTCCTGCTCCGGGCAGCTCTGGCCTCAGGCCCAGACACCCTGCAGGGCCCATGGCAGAGCTGACGGAGCCAAGAGGTCGGGAGGAGGCGCTAGGCACGTCTGGGCTGCTTGTCCCAACAAATTCCACCCCACATAGGTCCACCTATCAGCCTGCCCGGAGACAGGGGGATGGCCCTGATGACCTCTCCAGAACACAATGAAAGGCAAAGGTTTCATGGGGAGATTCGCCTCTGCGTTATGTGCCAACAATGTTGGCTTGGAGTGGTCTTCTCAGCCACTAAACTCTCCCGCGGGATGCCGTTCTAAAAATGCTGCTGCATGCCAGACCAAGAGAACCATTAAAGACTTGAAATAGGCACTCTGAACTCAAAAATATCCTTCCTTTGAAATTTTAATATTTAGAAAAACAAGAGAGCTTAAAACCTCCATTATTCAAGGCAGGGTAAATGGAAAAGACATTTCAAATAAAAGAGTTTTCTTTAGGGGTGGAGGGACGTGGCCCCTCTCTCCTTTGGGTACCAGGACAAACACGGTTTGCTGGCCTCCTTTCCCAGTGCAAAACGAGAGGGGAAAGCACAGCAAACGATTTTCCACGAACTTCTCGGCGTGATGAAGGGATTCTCAAAACTACAATCCACTCACAGCTGAAATAATATTGCAAGTAACTCCAGGCGGTTAAAAATGATCCCCATTACAGCCCACATGAAATTCCAAACCTATGTGCCGTCCCTTATGATTTTGCACAGTTAGACACATTTACGGAACGGAGGGAGCCGTGATGCCCCCGGAAGGACTGGAGTCGGGGGCGCTGGAGAAAAGTATGGGGGAAAAATCTTACTCAAAAAAGGACATCTTGTTCCCCTCCACTGACAGTCATATGAACAGCATGATTTCAATAATTTGTTTTATTACAAAAGTAATACGTGAACACAGGCTTCTTGTAAACGTCAAAGGCTACAGAGCATTTAGGGTAGAAAGTGCATCCCGCCCCTCCACACCTCCGAGCGTTCTGCCTTTCCCAACGAGCTTAGCTTTGAAAACCGAACCAGCCCCACAGCAAGCTGCCTGTTGAGCAAAGGAAATAAACAGGCCTCGTTCCTGTTATGAAAGGGCCAAAATATACAGTAAGTTGGTCAATAAATATTTATTAAGCTCCTGTGAAGTCCAAGAGACGCTGAAATAAGCAAGATACTGTCCTTGTCCTCAGGGAACATTGAAATTAACATAGCAAGCATTAAAGACGAGAGCAAGTGAGAGCCGAGCTGATGGGGGTGGCAGGACCTCAGAGAGGGGGCAGCTCTGCGTGCTTGGGGAGGCTTCGTCGAGGGGCCCTCCTGGGGCTGGGTGTCCACGTGGGCTGGGAGGCCGAGGCC